AAGTAATGAGGAGGTATGGGTGAGATGTTAAATAATCAGAGTTTCTGTGAAGCACCTATTTGATGATTACCTTTCAGCTCAGTGCATGACTTCAGTTTTTTGGTGCAGAGTTTTGTCATCTTGTTTCTTACTGAACTTGTCTATGTCTTATAACTTTAGTATTTTCTCTTCATAATTGATCCCTACATAGTTGATCTATTAATATATTTTCTCTAGTACCTCACTGCTTTTAGTCTCTTCTGCTTCCACATAATAAATACACAAAGCAGCCCTGATCTGGTATCAGATGTGCTAAATCTCTACACTTTTTCTTATGGTATAATGAAAATGGGGTATTTATTTTCTTCATATTTCTTTTGTTGTGGAACACTTGACAGCAATCTGTCTCCCTTGTACTTTGATAGTCTCTTGTGAGACTTTCAAATGGCACTAATAAGCCAGTTCCTCATCTAGTGCTTTGGCATACTGAAAGAATTCCAGATAAGAAGACCATTTTTCTTTTAGAGGTCCTGATATTTACACTTAGTAAATTTGCTAGATTTGCTAGACATTTCAAACTGTAGATCTATGTAGTATCAAGTGAAGGAATTATTTGACTTATCTCAGGAAACTGAAATCTACCTAACTAGAAATCTGAATTACCATTTTGCAGTCCTTTAGAATAATACTTTTGCTTAATGACAGTGTGCATGATTTTCTTAATAGTTCAGCTATTTCATTGCTAAATTCTTTCCATTAGCTCATGATGGATGTTCTGTTTTATTTAGAAGAATGGGCATTGCATTCATTAGGCAAACTTCATTAAATTTGGAGCTCAATCAACTAGAACTATAATTATATGGAGAGGAAACTTCCTAATCTGACGTTTGTAAAACTGAGCCTTTTTTGGAATTGGTTATTATCTTATGTGACATGACTAGCTGAGCCTTTGTATTGAACAGAGGCAGACTCTGGGAGGAGTGCCTTTCAGCTAGCAGAAGTGTTATTTTCTATTATAGTTTAATTGTTTTATAGGCTTTTTTCACCACAATGAGACATCTGCTCCTTCTATATATGGAGCAATAATAGACTGCTTGAGGTGGCAGCAAGAAGTGTATACTATAAACTGTTATCTCATCATTTAGGGTTACTTTATGGCACTTCAAATGATACCTTCTGCTGTTTAATTCCAGGAAGGTTATCCTCTTGTCCTTTTGATCTAAAATTTATGGATCTTGGTATGTCTGTGAAAGGAAAAAAAAAGAACACTCTCTATTATGAATGGAAAATTATTTCACTTTGTGACTTCAGATGAATGGTTTCTATCAGCATCAGTAAGGGGAAGCACCACTGCTTATCCATTTCTGCTTTACCTATAGCAGCACATGTAACCCTAGTGCAGGTTAGTGATTGGAACACTTGCTGTTTCTTCCTTCTTCGGTTTTTGGTCAATGCCTTCCTGGAAGTGCAGTACATTTTAAGATGAAGACAGCTAATAAAATGTCACTGCTTGTTTTGGTCAAGCTGTAGATACTGAAAAATTCAGTGGAAGCTCTTACTTAAGAACAAATTAAGAATTACATTCTTTCTACATACTCTTGAAGAAAGAAGCTGAGAGCTAATTTTACTCTCTGACCAAACATCATGTAGCTCAACAAATGGTTTTAAGTTGTACCTGTCTTGCAGTATAGAGCAGCCAAGGTGTTAAATGTGTACTGTCCTCAGTGTTTCATTGTGTTCAGTTCTGCCCTATATTCTTTTAGGTACAAGACTTCTGAGTGTGAATTCTTCATTTTGGACTTTTCCACCTCACTGCCCATGAGGAGTGAATTAGCTTGCTTCCTGCTGCCTGATTGACACTAAAGGAAGAAGACTGGGCAGACAGTCTGTTGAAAAATTTTGACTTGTTATCCCTTGACCTTTTGGAAACATATTCAGCCAAAAGGATTTGAAAATGCAAAGATTGTTCTTCTGAGTCTGCCTCAAGGAAGAAGTACTCATGTGTAGGAAAAAAGAGAAATAACTCAAATTTGGTTGAAATAGTCTGCTTATATGAAAAAAGAAAAATAATTTATTATAGGTTGGGATGTATACGCTATCCTTAGGAGATTGGGATAAAAAAATAGTTGGGCTCTCACGTGGAGTCCAGAAACAATAACCACACTGATTTGTGCCTCAAAAACAGGTACCCATCAGAAGGGGTTTTTCTCAGTAATGTTTTGTTGGACATTCATGGTTCTAGAAAAGATAAACATAAAAGGTGAAAGAAAAGAGTGTAAAAACAGCTGGAAGGAGGGCTTGAACAAAGTAATAGAGTATGGCCCAGACAAAAATCTCAGAGCCTATGCCTTTTATTGACTCTTAAGGACAAAAAGTGCTGAACAAGCTGGTTTTATTGGCTGCATTTGTTTCTGTGGCTGCAAACAGTGCCAAAGGATCTGGTGTGAAATGGGTTGTAGGCAATCCCTTTTGGGGACCACTGGTTTAGGTGAGATCTTTGTATATGGGGTTGAGGGCTCACTTTTAACATGGTGATAGTGAAAGCAAATTTCTTGTATGTATTTGGTGAAGTCATACTGTTCAGTCATTATGGGATGCACTGGGGAAATTTTGAACACCTTTGATCATCTCTGGAGAGAGCTCTGTTCTGTTCTCTCTAAATTCATCTATTAGATTTGTGAGATGGCAAGAATTATGTGCTTTTTAATTTCCATGGCCCTTTTGGGTTCAGTGCAGAGAGAACTCTGTGATAAAGGTTGTTTAAGTTTGTTTTTTCAAAGATAGTTTATTGACATATGGCAAGTAGGCATTCTTGCCCCCAACATATTGCTCTCCCATGTTGTTGACACTGGAATATAGTTCTGAGATCTAGAAAACTGTGGAAGATTTGTGGTGTCTGAAGTTCTTTGGAACAGTGTGGGGAGGTAGGGTGGCAGACAATGACACACCAGTTCCATTTCCATGCTACGTGTTTTCCACATCCCTTGCAAGTTGAAGAATATAAGAGCTTACTGAACTGATTACCACTGTGTTTAAGTTGGAAAGTTTTATTTTTTGAAACTATTGCACGAGGAACTTCCAGGATTTCCCAAGACTTATGTATCCTATTTGTTCAAACACTGTGTGTATTTGGAAATTTTATCAATGTGGCTTAAATAAAGGAACAGAAATTTGAGTGTGTTGTGGAAGCTGTATAACACATTCCAACTTTATGTTAAAAAAATACTTTGTCAGCTGGTACTGTAGGTAGTCCTTGTGTCATGGCCTTATTTGCATATTTTTGAAGTGATAAATTAGATAACTGTCACATTATGCTTTTGAGAAGGTGCTAAGTGCAGTGCTCTGGCTCTGCTCAAAGCAACCTCCACTTTAGCATAAGCAGTGGAATTTGTCATTTGGCTGAAGGCATTAAACCTTACAGTGCTTGAGCACCACAGTGAATTAATTTCCTGAGAGTTATAGGTATGGCTGATGGACAGTTTGTCAAAGGATTTGTCTTTTAATTAATCTTGCAAAAGGTAGCATGCCCCAATCTGTACTTGAATTTTCTTAACAAACACTGCCAACTTCAGGCTTTCCAAATCTAATTGCAATTAATTAAAAGCAATGCATGACTATTATTTAAAAATTAGTTGGTGGTTACATTGTCATGGATACCGTTGTGTTTAATTTTTATTATCTGGGGAAAGAAGTCCCTGAAAATGGAATTAAGCTTACATCTCAGTCATTTAAGTGTGTGAAAGAAACACAGTGGTGGTGATGGATTCATTCAGTTACTATTATGTTTGAGGAGAAAAAATATAGCACTAACCATGTGAAAGTCAGAAATGGATGAATAAAAACTACCACACACGAACACTGTGCTGTAGAGGTTCCCATTATGGGTAGAAAGCACATTAAAAGAACACTAAAATGGACTTGTTCGACACTAGTGTCATTAAATTGCTCATCAGTTTACTGGAATTTATAAACCAGAGTGTGCTGGTTTATAGATTACAGGTATGAACAGTGAAATTTGGCTACTTTGTTGGTGCGCAGGAAGTTTTAAACACTCCATGAAAACAGATAACTCATGATAATTTTGGTTTCTCTAGAAACCAAGATCCGTGCCTACTGAGGGCAGCAGCTTGGGTCAGGATGGCCTAGGGAGACCAGGGCTATCATGGGCCATGGCTCACCATCTCTTCATCCTTGCACAGACCAATGAGTCACTCATCAATCAGCTCTAAATTGCTGCTGTTTCAAGTGAATGGCATTTTAGCTTAAAGCACCATTGATTTTTATTTGGCTTTCAATGCTCCACTTGAAGTGGTGACAGTTGAGAAATCCATTAGCGCTCATGGCTGCGTCCCTGCAGATGCCCAGGGGAACATCTTGGGACTGCGGCTCTGGCGGTCACGCCAGGCCAACGCTTCCCTGTTCATCAGTCCGTGCTTTTCAATCATTAGCTAGCATCCATAATTGGGAAACTTTGAATATTTCAGACCTAAATGTTGGGAAATGCAAGGCATTACTGCAAGTACTGATTGCTTTATCTTGCATATGCTTTTTTTTTTTTTTTTTTTTTTTTTTTTTTTTTTTTTTTTTTTTTTTTTTTTTTTTTTTTTTTTTTTTTTTTTTTTTTTTTTTTTTTTTTNTTTTTTTTTTTTTTTTTTTTTTTTTTTTTTTTTTTTTTTTTTTTTTTTTTTTTTTTTTTTTTTTTTTTTTTTTTTTTTTTTTTTTTTTTTTTTTTTTTTTTTTTTTTTTCTGTCCTTTGGTTAATTGTGGGGTTTTATGTCTTTCTGTCCTTTAGTGTTCTTTTTTCCCCAGGAGCCAAACTGTGCCAGAGGATTGATACTTTGAGAGAGAAGTGGGAATCCTCTTATGTACCTGATAATTCCTTGCTCATTTTGATAATTCTTTGTGCTGACACTGTTGTAGTAACTTTGCTACTGCTTGGGTTATTTTCTCATGTTTATGATGTTTAGGAGAAGTAGTGAAATACTCACTTGTAATAGAAACCCTTCTTTTCTTGCATGTAGGAAACTCACAAATGGGTGCTACCATAGTAGATGCATTGGATACTCTTTATATCATGGGCCTTCATGATGAATTCAGAGAAGGACAAGAATGGATTGACAAAAATCTTGATTTCAGTGTGGTGAGTAGAGCCTGCTCTTAATATTTCTCTAGTCCTTTTCAAGGTGTTCATCTTGGGAAGAGCCAGAAGAGGTCTTTCAAGTGAAACTTAATAAAAATTACAGATCAAAGTGTCAGATGTAAACTTGTTACGAATGTGACATTCTCTGTGTGTCTAACTTTGTATTAGAAAAAAAAAATGCCTGACCTTTTCACAGTTATGATTGTAAGTAGAGATATACCTATATATTGTACTTTCAAAGTACAAATTATAACTAGATAATGGAAATAAGGGGAAGTGTTTTGTGAGAAACAACCAGGCCTCAGAAATGAAGACATAAAGATAAGTTTTTTTGGCTGATAGTTGTTACAAATAGCTGAGCTATGAAAGACAATTTCCCCCCAAACTACAGTGTATGAATTACTTAAGAATACAATCTCTTCTTCTATTTCTTAAGAGTTTTAACACAAAATATGTCACTTGAATTCTTGAGTTTTCCTACAGGCTCTTCATCTGTTGACACATCTATCACTAGAATTTCCCAGTTGGTCATGTAGCATCTGAAATTCTTGAGAATCATTGAATAGAAGCATTAAGTGGAAGAAATGGCTCTATTTTAGTCTTATTGATTAGTGTACTTAATACTAATTTTGGGACTGTCACAGACTCTGTGATGGAATTTGTATTTCAGTCCTTGGATTTGCCCTGTGGTTCCAAAAGTAATTTTTCATTCATAAATGCAAATAATAAAATATAGTTGTACACTCTGAATTCAGCAAATGCTTACTGTTGTTTCTATATTTTAACCTACTTTTCAAAAATTATTTGTTTGGGCTTTTTCCTTTTGATCTATACCTTGACTGTCTGGCAAGCATCAAAGAAATTTTACTCTGCTATTTCAGTTAGTGCCAGCTAATTATTCAGTCTAAAACAGAAGGTCCTAAATATATCAGAGACAGTGTAGAGATAATGATACCATTATGAGGGTGAACTAAATTGCTTCCATAGCTTTTGTCTGATCTTAGGCAATTTCAATATAAATTTGCAATATTAATCTAGGATTTGGATGGAAGAAATTTACATGACCCTCTGGGGTTCAGTTACATCTTCCTATGTATCAAAATCCATTTTTGAAGGTTAATTAGTTGTCTTGTGCATACACCAAACTTGAGTAGTTTCCTGATATGGTTTGGAGTTTATAAATAAATACATAAATTTTATCCTCTTGGATTCTTCTACTGGGACATGGAAGTCATTGGCTTTACACTGTCCCACTGCATGTGTGATTTATGACTTTAATAGGTATTAAGTGGAATCATCCTGCATTGGTGTTATTTTTCTTGTATCACCTTTATGTGAAAAGCCTTTTATTAAAACATTAGGGAGTATTTCAAACTTCAAAGTTTTAATCAGTGCTGTTTGAAGAAATTTTTATTCACATAATCTTTTTGAAATATGTAATATGTGCAAAATGAATTTAGTTTTGATCCAAGCACTGCAGGTGCCGTAGAAATTGCACAAAAGGAAAGATGTACCTGTAAATGTCATTTCAGCTGTGTGCAGATTGGTGAGTCAGCTTGTTCAGTGCACGTTGTAGTGACTTTTCTGGATAAAAGGAAAAGTCTTGCTGATCTCAAAATCTCTTAATAAAACTACATTTCTGTGTCTAATAGGTTGAAGAGAAGTTTATGGGGGAGACAGATGGAGTGTATGTGGAAAATTAGCTGAATGGGGCACAGAGGGAGTCAGTTGTTAAAACTATCTGGTTCCTCTTAATTTTTTGTGGGTTAAATGAGTCAAAAGATACTGTTGAATTTAACCTAAGGATAATAATGTGGAAGAAGGCAATAAAATCGTTTATTCTCTTGAATTTCTCAGTGGTCCTGCAGTACTACTTGTTATAATATAAAGGCTATTCCAAGACAAAAATTATGTTAAGATAGAGCTCTGAATTTAAATTTAGTAATTTAGGTTAAAAAAAGTGCTTTCTGGGAATTCTCTAATTACTATTTTGCTTTATCTTTTAAACCTAGAAGGTTCGGTGCTATACTGAAGCATAAGAGAGAAGATGCTGAATTATAGAAATGTGCAGTCCTTGCCTTTTTTCCCACCAGCCCCATATTACTGTAATTGCACTTTGTGGTGATAAAATGGTTAAAAGGCAGGAGAAAAACTAATCTGATTTTAATAAAATTGGTTGAAGCTGTAACTGGGATTGTCATTTGGTGTCACAAAGATGTGCACGAGCATTTCAGTTTGGATCTAGAGACTGCAACAGTACAGAGCCTTGCATGTGGATTGCCTTAGGATATGTACTTTCTTTTTCCTTGATAGTTTTTTTCCTTCTTTCATTAAGGAGTTGGTTAATTATTTATTAATGCTTTCTTTCTGTTCTAGAATTCCGAAGTGTCTGTTTTTGAGGTCAATATTCGCTTCATTGGCGGTCTTCTAGCAGCATACTACCTTTCAGGACAAGAGGTAAGGAGATTGGAAGGTATCTGAAATTCAGTGTATTATAGCAAATGTGGCAGATGGAGCCTTTTGTAGAATCTTGATTTCTCAGTAACTTGCAGACTAATTTCACAGCAGTCAGTTGTCCAAAATAACCAAATTCTTAGAGTATGGAATCTTTAAAGTTTGTTTCTGAGTAGGTCTCTTGGCATTTAGGACACTTGGTTACAGTTTTGAAATGCTTCTTTTATCAAGATGTTTTCAGAAGATATCCACTCAAATAAGCATCAGCTTGAAATGTCAAGTGAAATGTCAGCCTTCTCATGCCAACAATAACTTGTCTTGATATTCTGCAACTCTATGAAGGTAAAAATAATAGCTTTGCCACTTGTCCTGCAAGGCTGTAGGTTTGCTTCATCAAAGTGCTACTCAATCTTCTTACCATTTTCTCGGTGACAAACTGAGAAATAGCAAGCCAATTTTATACAACTTTTGAAACTTCTGTTAAAAATAAGATGTAGAGACATGCTTAGATTGACAGGATGCATGTCCCCAAAGACTTGCAACAATGGACTTCCTTAGTCCAGCAGTCACAGTGCTGTGACCTCTTACTTCACATACTTTAACAAGACTAGAGCTTGACCCCAGCAATTCTCATATCTTAGGAGCTGCGTGTCTTTAACCTATTGCCTGTGTCTTTGATTCTTTGGGTTTGTCCTTTATTTTTCATGACCCTTCTGTAGCCAACCACCTGACGTATTTCGTGGCTTTCAGGTGTTCTTAGGCATCTTCTTCCTTTGTTTAGGGAAGCACCACATATGAATCAAAAAGTTCTCAGAAATTTTAAGACTGCAGCCCTAAAAGTAGCCAAGAGAAAACTCATAATTTCTTGTCTCTTTAAGTCTTTGGCATCATCCTGGGATCTGTGAATTTTCTCTTTTATGAGTGTCTTGGTTTGGGAAGAAGAGCTCAGTGGCAAAGCAAAAACCTTGTGTACATCTTGAAAGAAATGAGTGGTTTATTTTTCATCCAGTGCTCCTGCTTCACCTTCTTCAAACTGGAACATACTCCTTGGAGGTATTTACTGTGAATATGAAAAACCTCAGAGAAAAAGCAAGAATTACACATTCACAGCTGAATTATTTGTATATATTGTTACTACACTTGTGCACAAGCCCCTTAAAAAGAACTTTTTTGCTCCAGTATGCAGATGGGTGCAGCCAAGCACTGCCAAAACATATGCTTTGCCTGCAGAGTAAAGCAGAGTATTCCTTCTTAAATTTGCTTCTAACCTCTTGGTAGAGTCAGAACAAGCTCCTTTGCTTAAATAGCTTTAATTTCTTTCCTTCTTAGAAAGCATCTACCCTTGCTTTCCTAAATGGTGGCTGGGCTGAGTCTTTTGTTTTTAAGATTTTTATGGCATAATTCTCTCCAACAGACTTCAAATGCTTCATGACTTGTGATACAGGATTCCCGTCAAATGTCCATATGTATCATCTTTATTTTCCTAAAGAACTGCTATAAAAAAGAGATCAGACTGCATTTCTTTCAAAATAGTGTGGCAGCTAGGATTGCTTAGGGTATCTCAGAGTCTCCTTCCTTTGCCAAGTTGGACGGGGTTTCTCTGCAATTTGTCATTGTGGATATGACAAGTAAAGGATTTTGAGGCTCTTTAGCAATTGAGCCCAGGAGAGACACCTGCGTCTGGGAGCTCATTGGAGTTGGAAACAGGTTGCTTGAGATGTGATTTCCAATCTGGTCCTCTCTTCCCCAAAAAGGGAATATATTCCTTAGCTCAGGATTGGGGTATGCTTGATTTCTTTATCCATTGCATTCAGACATGTGAAGAGGCACTTTGTAGCGTTCGTAAGACAGACAAGCCTGTTCCCAGCCTTTTGGGTGTTTTACCTGATCAGGTTGTGAACATGCACATGGGCTTACACCTTTAAGGCAGTCTCTGTCTCCTGGTAGTTGTCCTTTCTTTGTTCATCAAGCCATCATTTACTTGATCATATTCACTTACCACACCTTGTTGATATTCCAGTCACTGTCTTCCTACCTCCAAGCCTCTACTTCTGCAAGGCTGTTGCTAGATTGGTTTTAGAATGGTTTCAGGTTAATTTTCCATACTTTTGCATGTCTTGTTTGATGTATTTTAAGTAAGGTCCAGTGCAATGAACTGCTGCTTAGAATTAATTCTGTTTTTCTCCTTTAAATAAATATAAATTCTGCATAAGTCTGCAACAGGAGTTACTGCTGTTTGATGATAGTTATAAAAGCTGCTCTTACTTCATTTGGACTACTATCACTTAGTGTTGATAAAGGTGCTGTAGGGACAACCATAAAACAGTGTCCAATACTCAACATCAGCTGTGGAACTTTAATAATTTGTAAATGGCCATGTCTGGAGAATTTTAAAGTCCTCGTGGTGTATCTACAATGCTTTTTGTAGGGAGAAGGCAACTGTGCTTGAATCTGATTGATTGATAATGGTAGCTATAGACCATAGTTTTCAAGTACAGCAGAATATTAATTTAGATTAAATAGTCTTTTTAATGCTTTTGCTGAAAACATGTTAGATTTAAAGTTTATTTAGCATGTCTAGTGGCATGACTCTGTGGCTTCCATGCTGTATTTAAACTGTCCTGTTACTGCTATTCCTTAGAAGACCATCAACTGAGATAATGGTTTTAATAATGCTGATTATAATTAATGGAAGAATTTTAAGCCTTTTTTGCTAAGATTGTGAGTATTGCTGTCCTTTAATCAATAAGGGTTCCCTCATACTCACTGCGATGAAATGGGTGAATAATGAAATATATGTCCCATATAACCAAAAATAAAATTGCTGTTCTTAGCTGCTGACAGCTTGGCTGAAAATGCTGTAGGGTTTGTTCTGTCCAGTGCTGAGTCACAGGCCTTTCTTTGTGAAACATGACTTGTGTAAATTTTTTAACAGCTCAGCCTTTCACATGTGGGAATTTCTGCTGGGCTTTCATGAGTGATGAGCATGTAAAGCTAAAGCTTAAGAAGGATGCATTTTGGTGAAAATGTCATGGTTGTCTTGCCTCCCTGTACCTGTGTGCTAAAGTAGGGAGACATAGTTGTTTCCCTAACAGGCAGTTCTCTTGATGTGTGAAAGATCACCATCTTTCTCCATTTTTCCATGTCAGTGTGCCTTTTAAATGGAAGATAATCAAGATACTACTGCAAACCTAGACATAGTGGAAAGTTTGCCCATGCATTCTGTTTCAGTCTTCTAAAGTTGAAGCAACATTGATACCTCTCTGGTGGCAGGAGTTGTAGGTCTGCAGTCTGGTGGGGGGGTCTTGTTTAAATCCTCTGCACAGTATGTTTCTCCTGGCTGATTGTGGACAGGCCATCTGTTGTCTGGCTAGTTGTATGTTACCAGATAAAAGAGTGTGCCTTCTTTGTCTCAGTTCCCACAGAGAAATGAGGTCCCAATCTGTCTTCAGTTTTGAGATTCTTTGACTTTTCTCCAGGGTACATTATTTGAACTATATAATGAATATATGCTAAAACCGTGGAGTATAGAATCATAGAATGGTTTGAGTTGGAAAGGACCTTTTAAGATCATGTAGTACATTCCCCCTGCCATAGGCAGGGACAGCTTTCAGTAGACACATTACTCAGTCAGTGCTCTCTATGTCCTGGCCTTGAACACTGCCAGGAAAAGTCCACAGCTTCCCTGGACAGTACAATCTTGTTACCCTCATTTTAAAAATGCCTTCCTAATAGGGCCCTAAGAGGGCTTTGAGCAGCCTGATCTGGTGGAAGGTGTCCCCTCCCATGGCAGGATTTGGAACTAGATGATCTTTAAGGGTCTTTTCCAACCTAAACAGTTTAGTGATAATATCCACTCTAAAACTACTCACAGTTTTAAAACAGTTGTCCCTTCTCCTGTCATTAGAGGCTGTAGTAGAAAGTCCTCTTCATCTTTCTTGGAAGCCAGGCCCCATTCAGGTGCTGGAAGGTGCTAGAAGGTCCCTCTGGAGCCTTCTCTTCTCTAGGCTGACCAACCTCCACTCTCTTAGCCTGCCTTCAAAGCAGATGTGCTTCTGCCTTCGGATCATTTTTATGTCTGTCTTCTGAACCTGCTCCAACAGGTCCACATTCTTCTTTTATTGAGACCCCCAGAGCTGCAAATGGTATTAGGGTCCTCAGTATAAGTGGAGGGTGTTTAGTGTATTTCTTTCGAAATTATACAAATGAAAGGAAGAGGAGGTTGGACCAGATCATCCCCTGGGGTCCCTTCCAACCTGACAGATTCTGTGCCACAGAAAGAGGCTCAATAAAAAAGGTTGGAAAAAAGCATGATCTCTCCTGGGAGTGCTCTGTGTCATAAAATAATAGAATCATCTAGGTTGGAAAAGACCTTGACAATAGAGTTCAGCCTCTCCAGGCAGACTCTCTTGTATTTTGCCATATTCCAGAGATTTCTTCCCAGTTCCAGTAAGCAACCTGTGTAAAGCGTTCACTCTTAGTTATTCTTTATTAAATTGTATGCTAATAGGTATAATCTCTAAGTACCTAAATAAGAAATGTAAAATTCATTGTGCCTATATTCAATAAGGAGCCACTAATTAAATATTTTTGAGGTGTAGGGCTTATGAGAGTTGCTTAGTAGAATCGTGAGTGACTGGAAGACATACTGTGAAAACGAGGCACTCCTGTTTTCTACCCCAGGTCATGATAGAATGGATAACATGTTTATATTTTACATTTTGGTCAAACATTATTGTAGTTAAAGTGTATGAACTGCAAGTTTCCCGCCTTCTCAGTTCAGAGGCACCACTGTGCTTCCTCTTTTGCATCTGTCAAATGAAATTAATAGTCCAAAATAACATCTTGATGGTAAAAGATATAATGACTTCTTTTCTAAATTGAACCAGACTGTTTCTCAGTAATCCCTGAAACAATCGTTTAATTTCTGTAAGAACTATGTACAGTCTTCATTATGCTTGTGGGTTGGGGGTGAGGGACAAAACTATGATACAGCTGATAAT